TTCGTCTCCCCGTTCGTTCTCCTTTACTACTTTATGAAAGCATTCAATTATTTTTCTTTTTGAAAAATTATATGACCAAGTCTGATGATTATTCATTAATTTGGATTATCTTGGCCTCATTTCATGATCCTTTTCACAATTTTTACTTTTTCACTCATTTTGTGATCTTTTTCACTGTTTTTTTTTCAAAATTTTTCCTAAAATCTCAAAATTTTTGTGATTTTTTTAAAGAATCTTGAAAATTTTCGCTGAAATCTTTGAAAAAATCTAAGCTATTTCTCAAGTAATTTCTTGCTTTTTCACTTCAATCAAAGTGCAGTGTTCGGGGTCACGTTCCTCCTTGTCATCAATTTTATTAGGAAAATTCCGGCGTTTTTTTATAGATTGTTCTCCCATTGTTTTTTTTTTTTTTTTTCAAAAATTCACAAATATTTGAGAAATACCTAAAATCTTCTCTACTTTCCGAAAAACCTCTGGATTTCCTGAAGTTTCTTCAGAAATCCTTATATTTTTAATTCTTTGAAAAACTCCTAAATTATTTTATGTTCGAAAAAGACCGACGGTTCTCTGATTTTGTAAGGAATCTGCAAACTTTCTTGAAGTTCCTAGAACTGGATTTCATGAAGAAACACATCCCTTCATTTTTCTAAATATTCTCTGAATGAATGCTCACATCAGGAATAGAACCTGCCCTAAAATTTTCATATTTCTAGCTTCAATAATTTAGACTTTGCATTATTACCTCAGGCAAACTGAAAGGTTGTCTTTTCATTTTCATCACGCAATTGCGGCAATGATGTTCATTGTTCATAAACATTCTCATTGCAAAAAGCAATACTACTAAAGAAAATAATATATCCCAACTTATTAGCAATTAATTTTTTTTCTCATTGTGACTCATTTCTCAACTTTCTCTCAAACATAATTCAGAGAGTAAATTGCTTGAAGTCAATGATTGGTGAAACTTTGGTTAAAGCGAACCCCAACGTTGCTATGAAATTTTTTAATCCGTTCGTTCGGCAATTCAATTAATCTGTTGTTCATATCATCGTTCCGTACTTGGAATTTCTTAAAATATTTTTCAAATTCAAAATTCGAACTTAAAATTACAATTTGACTTCTGCTCCTTCATTTTTTGTGAATTGAAAATTCATATAAATAATTACATAAACATTCTAATTCTTGTTCTTTGCTGTCGTGGAATGGTAAGTTACAGCCTTTTATTCTTAATACAGCTTTTTAATGTAAAAATTGTGCGGTTGAAAATTCATGTAACTTGAGAGTTTTTATCTTCATGCTATTAAAAAGTGTTGATTTCTGTTGAATTTTCAGTGAAATTTGAAATGTCATAACTTTTCCCTCTCAAACTGAAATCAATGTTTCTCCTCTAAAAATTGCTACTAAACTGAGCATGAAATTTTATTTATTTTTTTTCAACAGTTTAATTGCTATTTACCCATAACTATTAGAGAACATTTAAAAAATCTTGAAAGTGGAAAATAGAAAGTCAACTTACCGAAGTAGACTACGACCATGATTATTTTTTATGTAAACAATTTAATAGCTTCCATTTTTTCACTCTCGAAGTGAAAAATTGATGATCATTGTAATAGTATTTTTTCCTGAATTTTTATGAATTTTTCCGCTTCCGGAATTTCACTGAACATTAATTTCATGCCAAAGAAATTTAATGTCTTGTTCGTAATCGTTCTCGTTGCAAAAAGCAATGCGAATGATGAAAATGATATGTTCCAATTTATTAGTTGTTAATTCTTCATATTGCAATGAATTACTCATCTGCTAATTGCTATGATCACGGAGTAATATTTTAATTATAAAATTATTTTCTCGAACGTAATTCAGAGAGTAAATTTCTGAAAGTCGATGATTGTTGATACTCTAGTAAAAGTGGGTGTCAATACTTATAAATTTTTCTAATTAGCTCATTCGGTATTTCACTTAATTTGTGAGTCATATGATCAATACAATTCTAATATCAACACCTCATATATTCAGCACAAAATAAATAATCAAAAGTTAAAATAAATTCATGATAATGATGCAGATCAAATGACATAAATATGATCATTCTAATTCTCAGCTATTACGAAATGAGTCACAGATTTTTTTTTTCACATATAAATTTTGAATTTGGATACTGTTGTTTTTTTTCTTTTGTCTTGCTTATATTTTACTATTGGGTAATACTTGAGAGTGGATTATATGCCGAGGACACTGGACACTACTGTATTGAAGTTGGATATTATTTTTATGTATTCATTGAAAAATAAATTTAACTATTGATTCTAATAATCTTTGTTTGAAGAAAACGTCAGTAAATGCAACCTTTAAAAAGTTGAAAAAATGATTAAGACAATCATAATTTATTTATCAATAAAAAATACAGAGCAATTCTGAACAGAGTAATTATTTTTCAAATGAGAATTCTAGTAACTTGGATCGAAAAATGTATTGAATTCCATGTAATTGTCATGAAATGTGAACTTCATTGCTTGCTCTTTCAAACTGAATTAAATATCTTGTTGCCTGAAATTTACTACTAAAAGATCCATGGAATTTCATTTTTTCTTCAACAGTTTAATTACCTTATTCAATAATACTAAATTTTTCACTCTAGAAATGATTTTTTTCCTAAATCCCGAAAATTTCAATAAAAATCAATTTAATGCAAAAAAAATGATGTCTTTAGAAGTTTAGAGCATTTCCATATTCATTCCTGCAAAGGGAATGTTGAAAAAGGCAATTATTCGCGGAATGCCTTTATTTGCGAACTTTTACTGGCCAATTCAATGAAGGAGTTAGATGATAGAAATTCTTCAAATAAAAAAAATTTAGACTTTTTTATGTCATGTAGAAAATTCATTACTCTTTGATTTTGTAAAATAAATATTGATTTCATTTAACAAACCCTTGAACTAAAATTGAATGAAAAAATGGAACACGAATATTTTAATAGTTACAACTTAGAATTAGGTCTGAATGATTTGGAAGAATATAAGATTCATTTCTTTTATTCCACGATTGACATTCAAGTTTATTTAATTATGAACTATTTCAACCATCTTGTCAATTTTTAACACTCATCACTAACGAATAATTTTCCATTTCATTCAACATAAATATATCTGTGTGGAAAATATGCACTGATTTCCCATTCCATTTATCATAAACAAAAACGTGTGCAAAATCTATGCCCTGATTTTCTATTCCAGTCATAACAAACAATTCCGTGTGTAAAAAATATGCACTGATTGTATGTATTTCATGTATTCCTTATTTGAGGTTAGAAATCCTTTTTTAATTCACGTAAATTTTTTCCAAAAATAAGATAAGGATTCTGATTTCCTAACATCAACTTGAAGTACTCTCTCACCATCGATAATTTTTCACAATTCCGGGAGAAGGAAATTTCTTTCAGAACTTACTACTTTTCTCTATTCTTTTACAGAAATTCGAAAATTTTGTCAAATTGGAGTATGAAAAAACCAATAAATTTCTCTTTTTTTTTCAAAATTTTCATTCGATATTTCCATACTATTTTTAATTTGCGATTCTCCAACTTTGTTTATGAGACCATTTTTCGGTGAATTTACAATATTTCCTTTCATAACCAATACATTAATGTGTACATTGACTGAGAATGAGAACTAAAAAATATTTTTACGAATTATTTGCTCGTTTCTTATTTCAGGCTAGAAATGCTCTTCAAAAGTCGCGCCCATTCTCGCGAAATTATTTATGAAGATTCCCCTTTATAGTACCCGTTTTTTTCAATGCCATTTGGCGGTGTCCCCGCCGAAGTTCGTCCTCATTCGAGCTATTTTGAGTTCGACTTTCGGCGTTCGACTTTTTTCGATTCGAGTTTTACCCTTCGTATCTTTTATGAATAGATGAATAGAAAAAAAAAAGAGGATTATCAAACGAATTATATACGACAGAAGAAAATAATATGCAAAATGACCATTCGGAAGTGTATTGCTAATTTATTAGCAAAAATAACCATACTATATGTATTATGGAGAAAAAAGCAATTTCCCAAACACCCAAAACATATTTTTGAGTGACTGCATGTGTGATAAATATCACAATAAGGAAAAATAACAATACTATATGACGATAAACGTAATTTCCCACTTGTTTCATTCCATTCTTGGCTTTCAAGTTATCCAATTATCAATCATCATTCGAACAATTTTTCATTTCACATAGAGAATCCGATTTGTAATTTACGCGCGCTTCCCTGAACAGCGCCGTCGCGGCCGCATTGCTCATTCTCATGATGAGAATGCATCCTTCATGCGCCGCCATGACACTTTTTACATGCTCTCCGCCATGACAGTTTCCAATGCATGCTTTTTTTATATAAGGAGTAGGACATCCATTTATAAGCCCGTAAGAGACGAAACTTGACCTTCCTGTTGGCCCTCATGACCTTCAATCTCAGATGATTTTAAGATCTGCCCACGGCGCATTCTTCACGTTGGTCTTAACTGTGTTGAGTTTTACACGAAACAAAAAATACTTCGCTTCATTATCTAACATTAACAATTTACTATAAGGTATTTTTTCTACAATAGTGGATATAACAGTATATTTTTCTTTATCTAGGGGCACTTGAAATCACATCTGAAAGATATTTGAAGCATTCTGCTTTCGAAGATACCTTAGTAGAGAATCAACTTCCTATTGAAGACATTTTTTTTTGTACGTATGCTCTTCTTTCAATTTCTATCAGTGAAAATTCAGTGGGCCTATATTATTGGTAAGAGAAAATTCCTTGCATTTTTAAAATTATTTTTTAGAAAAATTCTCTGATCTGCTGATTACTAGGCAATGCTCATATATGTCGTTAATGCTGCCACTCAATCTGCGTTAAGTGTCAAATTCGATAAAATCACTTGTTCCTGATATTTAATTGATCCGAATTTTCCTCCATCCGTCGGAGTCTTCTTCAATTCATTCCAATATTGAATATTAGTTTTCTTTCTTATTTATTCACTCTTTTTTTTTATTTATTTATTTATTTATTTCTTGATTCAAGTTAATCATTTATGTGCAATCTCAATATCAATGTTACGACAGGAAAACGCTTTCTATCAGATTTGTGAAAGCAAGATGTCAAGAGAACGTGCGTCCAGGAGGTTTTATCGTATGGATAGTAGCCATGACCTATCGGTGTACCTAGACCGTGGACGAACTGCTGAGCAGGAGAACAGATGGAATTTCGAGGTGGCATGGGAAGTTGCCAATAAAGGTGAAGATAATTATTGCAATGCACGGATTTTATATTTTATCATCTAGAACTGGTCATTATTGAGCACAAAATGGAAAATGGAAATGTGCTGTGTACGTTGTAATTTGATAGTTCTTTCTGAAAACTTGAAAAATTCTTCCATATTCCCATGTATTTCTGCTCCTTGTCCCGAGCATGAAGAAAAAAAATGTCCTCATGACAACATGAATCAGGTAACCGATAGTTTATAATGATTCAAAGAATTTTGTTCCATTTCAGTTAAAAATTTTTGCTGCGAGTTCGTAGATAATCTTTTATAATAGAGATAATCTTTTCTAATTTTCGGAATGAAATTTAGAATTCATTCATACATATTTTCAGTTGGGGGAATCTATACAGTGATCAGATCCAAAGCTTATGTATCCACTGAAGAATTGGGGGATCAGTATTGTATGATTGGTCCATATAAAGAAGAATGTGCCAGAACGGAAGTAGAAGAAGCTGAATTTCCCATGCACAATCCTTTACGAATTGCAGTTCAAACTATGAGAGACCAAGGATATAAAGTAAAATCATCCGATAGATCTATAGCATACTTATAATCAATCGAAATAAATGCTACTGAATTTTTAGGTGGTTACAGGTACTTGGCTAGTCGATGGCAATCCTCAGGTGATTTTGTTTGACGTTGGAATAGCAGCATGGAAGCTGGATGAGTATAAGCAGGAATTATGGAACACAACCAATCTGGGAATACCTCACCTTGATATTGAAGCAAATGATGCTGTCATACTGGGTTATTTAGTATGTCAATTCATCACTGAGTTCAGAAAAGCGGCTGAGAGTTATTCGAATGAGCCACCAAGGATTCTAGTTCATTGTCATGAATGGCAGGCAGGTGTTGGTCTTATTGCTCTGAGGACTCGTCATATTGATGTTGCTACTGTTTTTACCACTCATGCTACGCTTCTCGGAAGATATCTTTGCGCTGGGAAAACAGATTTCTACAACAATCTAGATAAAGTAAAAAAAAACAGTGGTGGAATTTCAAGTGAAATTTTCCAAGGATTATGATTTTTCATTAAGTTTTGTTTCCTTCTTCATTTGCAGTTTAATGTCGATGAAGAGGCAGGCAAGCGACAAATTTATCATCGATATTGTATGGAAAGGGCAGCGGCTCATCTCTGTCATGTATTCACGACAGTTTCCGATATCACTGGAATTGAGGCTAAAAATTTGCTCAAACGTGAACCAGATATTATAACTCCAAATGGTCTGAATGTCAAAAAATTTTCTGCCCTCCACGAATTTCAAAATCTTCATGCTGTGAGCAAAGAAAAAATTCATGAATTTGTGCGTGGACATTTCTATGGACACTTTGATTTTGATCTCGATAAGACTTTGTACTTTTTCACTGCTGGTCGTTACGAGTTTGGTAATAAGGGAGCTGACATTTTTATTGAAGCACTTGCAAGGCTCAATCATTATTTGAAAACGTCGAAGCCAGACGTAACAATCATTGCATTTATGATTTTCCCAGCGCGCACGAATAACTTCAACGTCGAGTCGTTGCGTGGTCACGCGGTAAATACTTTTCATTGAATAATTGAAAGACAGCAGGTCAAAGCGCACCTTTTCAAATCGTCAATATGATTGGACCCTTAGCCCCCCGTACTAAAGATTCGAAAAAGCATATTCCAATGGAGAAAGTTTTAAATCCCACAGAAAAGATTTCAAGTTACTGATTATTGGAAATAGTGCGTTCTTCCTTGCTTTCTCAACTTATTGTTATCTTCTTTAATTAATTTCATATTACTCTATGTTGAGTGGCGTTCGTAATAATAAAAAACGTCACGCATGTAAATTTCGTTTTTGACGAGTGTGATAACAGAGCTCGTCTTGGGCTCGAAGTAATCACTTGTATTGTTAAATACTATCATTTTGTAGGTCACGAAATCTCTCAGAAACACCATCAACGCAATCCAACAGGATATCGGGAAAAGAATGTATGAATTATGTTTATCTGGAAGACTACCAGATGCCCAAGATTTACTTCTAAAGGACGACATGATCAAAATAAAAAGGTGATCAATTTTTTAAATCGTTGATTTCTTCATAGTATGGCAACCTTTAGCATATAGAATTGTCTACTCTTCTATGTTCCAATATGAATTTACAAATGTTTTAGGTGTTTGTATGCTTTGCAACGGAATGGTCTTCCACCAATAACGACTCATAATGTGGTTGACGATTGGAATGATCCCATTTTAACTGCAATTCGAAGATGCAATTTATTTAACACCGTTCACGACAGAGTGAAAGTAATAATCAATTTTCTTGTTGTTTATCTTTTTTCTTTTCACGGAAATAATTTCAAACACGTTACTGTTTTCTTCTTCTCGCAGATTGTCTTTCATCCGGAATTTCTGTCTTCGACAAATCCATTATTTGGTTTAGATTATGAAGAATTCGTTAGAGGATGTCACTTGGGTGTTTTTCCGTCTTATTATGAGCCATGGGGATACACTCCAGCCGAATGTACGGTCATGGGTATCCCTAGTGTCACAACGAATTTGTCTGGCTTCGGTTGTTTTATGCATGAGCACATTGCCGATCCCATGAGTTATGGTATTTACATTGTGGATCGCCGTTTCATCGATGTTGAAGCTAGTGTTCAGCAGTTAGCACAATACATGTTCGATTTTGCACGCCTTAGCCGAAGGCAGCGAATTATTCAAAGAAATAGAACAGAGCGGTTGAGTGATCTGCTTGATTGGAGAAATCTGGGAGTTGTAAGTAATAATAATCATTTGATAAAAAATTAAAAATCGGCTGTTTTCGGTCAAATATTTTCAATTTCAACTTAATTATAAATAGAAAATGTAATATAAGACGAATTCTATTCAATTTAGTACTATCGTCAAGCGAGAATAAAGGCACTCACAAAAGTCTATCCAGAATTCGCTTCTCAATTGTCTGATGAGAACGTGGGAAAGTTCAATTATCCAAGGCCACTCAGTGAACCACCATCGCCTTCTTCCTCTCGTATCACAACTCCAGCAGCATCTGTACATGGATCTGACGATGAGGACGAAGTGGATGATGAGAAAGAGGTAAGGGACATTGAGAAATGCCATAAATGTGAAGTGAAATTGAGAAGACATTTTTTTTCATGAACAAATGATCCTTTTCCAGCTCGAAGAACTGAGGCAGGCCAATGGTCGATGAAGCCTTTGAGTTGTTGGATGAGAAGGATGAGACAGCAGATTTGTTATGTTAGATATTCATTGTGTTAGTTTTTTTTAATGTAATCGCGTTGCACATTATACGAGAAAAAGGCCAAAGAAGGCATTTTCAATTATCGAAAAATAGCCCCCAATATATTAAAGGTTGAGATTGTTCAAGTTTCTTCCACTTTAGTTGGTCTAATCCAGATTTGAGTCAATCCTCTTTTCAGCAAGGAAAATACTTGTGTTACTCCACTAGACTATTTCAATGAAGTCTCTACCTATTACAAACAGCTTTTTTAAATTGAGAATGAGTGAAAAGATTTTTTCTTCCCATTGTTAATTCTAAAATATTGACTAATTAATTTCATCCATTACTAATATTAATTGGATTAATGTTAGTAATGGATGACGGTGAAAAGAAATCATGGCCATTACATGCAGAATTGAATTTTAATGGACCGAATTATCGAAAGAAACTACTATTTTCTGACTAGAAAATTTCAATACTAGGGTAAAATAATTAGCCATTCAAGGGTTAAATTCATTCGAATGTAGATTGAGTTAGCTATAAAAAATAATTGGAAAATTACATATTATGATTATCCTATAGTCGATATTCTATTGAAAAAAAAACAATCCATCGATTACACTTACGCTTGTGTTCATGATTAAAAATATTGGGCTCGTCATTTACCGCGGGCGGTGCTACTGCCACCGCACATGCAGGCTCTGACGCGCTGCGCGGTTTTCAAATTAGAGCAATGTAAACACCATCAGTTTTGTTTGATGAATATTTATTAAAATCAATCTGTAAACATTGAATTTGGGGCAAATTTTTAATTTTGTCAATAGTACGGTTTACTCGAGAAATATTGTAGAGGGGCAAACAGTACTAAATTCTCAAAATGTGCTTTTTTTGTAGTGCATCATTCATCACCAATAAGCAGGTTAATTTGGTGTCTTTATGTTTAAAGACGAGTGGTTTGAGTGAATTACCACACCGAATTGATGGTCGCATAAAAATTGACTCCAAGACCAAATTAACCTCGATATTAAGCAGAGACTGAGAGCGACCGCAGAAAACGAAACGGCGGTTTTGACGTTCTTATTCTCAAGAACGGGAATGAGAATGAAAACAAAATGTCGAGAACGTACTTGCCAAGAACGAAAGTGAGAACGAAATATCGAGAACGTACTCCCAAAGAATGAAAGTGAGAACGCGAACGTTCCTTAGAGAATGAAAGTTGGGAACGAAATGTTGAGAACGTTCTTGCAAAGAACGAAGTGAGAACGGGAGCGTTCTCCCGAGACCAAATTAGGCACGAACGTACTGACTGAATACGAGGGTTCTCAACCATTGCTGGAGCCTTTTTGTATATAAGCGATTCTTTGTAATGTAGGCCACTCAAATTTTTCGATGTTTCCGAAAATTTTGAAAAATTTTGAAAGTAATACCTGACGTGAAAAAAAACTGTAAATTTTTTCAGATTTTTCGGTTGTTTCGTTTCAAGTTAGTTGAGTTAATGACGGAGTACACGGAGAAGAATATTCTAGAGAAATTCATGTGCTAAGCACTATAAATGAGGAACAACTTCCACGCATGGAAAAATCATTGTGTAGGCCCAGAAAAATTCGCGGGCGACACCAAGAAAATTATGGTACCCCCAATAATTTTTCCGGTGCGGCACGATAATTTTTTTGCCGTTACACAATCATTTTTTTGATGTAGTGTTACGTCCCTAATGGTTTACACTCAATTGTCTGTTGGATTAATTTGAGGAGTAGTTAAATTGACCTTTTGGTCCGTAACTCCAGGTGTTGGGGGTAACTATCTCTTTAGCTAGGTTCCACTAATCAACTACTACGCGCAGTTGACCAATCAAGACACGATTTAGAGTGTTTCGTTTACTATTGTCGTTCACTATTCTAGTTTCAGGGTTTTTAGTGACTCTTGTGGGTTGGCTTTTATTAAGGTTTAAATGTTTTTAGTTTGGTCTTGTTTTATTATTTGACTTCTATTGGTTTAAATTGGTATTTGTGATTAAGTCCCGAACACTTTGAATTTGGACTTTGAGTATTTGGAGTTGAAGTATTCACTGAGACTTTACTTGAACTTGAAGTTTCACTTTAAGATGTTTAGAGAATTCATTCCTTTCTCTTTGACCGTGGCTATAGAAGTGATTTTACTAAGATGAGATTTGAATATCTTAGGGCTGCTTAGGGCTCACGCGTAGGCGTAGACGCTCTAGTTTCTGAGGGTAGGATTGGTTCATCAGGGATGGTGGTGAGGAGAGAGGCGAGCCGGTTGGTTTTAAGTCAGTCGGGAAGCCTCGAAAGTCGTGATTGGATTAGGAGCAATTAAGGGTGCAGCTGCATTTGACTCCTGAGAACAATTCTGTTCTCACGGAACGTTAAAATTTGGAAAACGACATTTGACACTTATGACTTTTGGGTTTCTTGGCCGTGTTGGGTTTACAATTTTGAGATGCTACTGCTTATCTTAAAAATTTAGTTGATTCTTTTTCATGTTTTTGGATAATTTATTATGTACATGTGCACATGCCTGGTTTTCGGCTTCGTTTTGAATGTGGGAAAGCTAGTTTCATGATTTTCTCAGGAAAAAATGTGGTCTGGAGTGTTATTTTCGGTTTAAAACTGGATAATATTCTAATTTATTACGTTTGAAAAATATAATTAGAAATTGGGCCTTATATACTAATTGTTGGTAAGACTCGACAGTCGATAAGCTAATTGAAAAAAATGGAACTAGCGCCATCAGGTGGCTATTGGGGAGACTAAATCGCTGCGATGTCTGGTGGGTATCGCCTGCACTAAGAAAAATGGCTCTCGGATGGTTTATCGTTGGTACTTCAATCAATTACTTTACAAATCCTCAAGTCTTTCTAAAATATGACAACATCGGAACTTCGAGTACAACAATAAAAAACAATACAGAAATAAATGAGACGAAGAGGAACTACTACTGTCAGCTACAATGTGGGGGTTTGAACAAGTTTGAACGGATAAACCATATCGGTCGTCCATGTCATGAGGGCGATCACTACGCCATCGGTAAATAGCGGTCCCAATGGTGTTGATGTAACATCACCCCTTTAAAAGAGTCGAGCGTCCTCGCTCGGTAGATGATTTAGTAGGATGCGATATTATCGACTCTCGATCTTCCAAGATGTTTCTCTTATCGACTAAGATAAGTCTTATGAGGTAGGATATAAAATTTGATTTGATGATTGGCATAAACTTAGATTTCTAGGGTTTATCTTTATTTAACATTAATTTGAACATACATTAGTGTTGATAATTATTGTTATTATTGGGTGTATGAATATGACTCCGCCCCTTTTTGTTCAAATAAAACATATTTGCTTGTTTAGAAAATTAAAGAAAAGTTTATTGAAAGTATACTCCATCTGCAGCTACAACCTTCGCCCATCTTTCAAGTAATTTACGTATTCCTTGCCTGAAGAAATCCTGGTCTTTTGAGCTGATCCAATTATCAAGCCAAATTTTGATACTTTCGTATGAAGTGAACCGTTCTCCCGTAAGATCTGACTGCAGTGTTCGGAATAAGTGGTAAGAAAAGCTATGTCTGGCGAATATGGCGGGTGGAGTAGCACTTCTCAGTTCTGTCCATCTAAATATCTTTTGACGTATTTCGCACCTCTGCGGAACGGTACGAAAATACGCAGCCCTTGGCAACCAAATTTTATAACCAAAAGTTGAGCGCCAGTACGTTTTCTTTCAAAACGCTCAAAAACCGAAATCCGAAATCTGCAAAATAAACCAACGAAGGAACAGCTGCCGACAGCTCAGTATATCATCCGCGGAGGCGGCTGGGTTCCAAAATGTTGCTCTGAAAAAATTATTTTGAAATGACTGGGTTCCAGTTTACTAAAAGCAGTCATAAATGCAGGGTAACAGATAAATTTAATGAGATGGTTAAACAAAATCGAAAATCTGTCTGCAAATGAAATAGGATGGATAAAACCCCATCTTATTCTCGATATCCGAGGCACTTAATCTTCGGAAAGAAAACACAAGGACGAATTATAAAATAATAAATAAACGATTAGAAGACTCGATACAACACAATTCCCTAGCCGCGATATGTCAAAAGATAAAATACTGGTCAATTAAAAAAACAGTTGAAATCCGTCAATTAATCCGTAGTCCATGAAAAAGGTCAAACGGTAAAATAACTAGCGAAATTACCAATGAGTCCTAAATGACCGCGGTGCAGGAATCTACCATTACACCTAGATATCAGTACATCCACCCAAAGTGGCGAGAATAAGAATCTGACACTACAAGCTATTGAGAGGGGGATTGCCTCGAGGAACGAAAACAACACAGCCGGCAATTGACGAAAGGTCACCCGGCACAAGACAACAGCTCGAGCGCCGAAAAACGCTACAATCCCTCTGACAATAACTACGATAATTGTCTCTGAACGATTATGCCGAAAATTAAATGCGATGAAAGTAGGCTTTCAGAGGCCGAGAAAAATAATAGAACATCTGGAGAGGTAATAACACTCACCTCGAGAATTACAATACGCCTTAATATCCGAAAATCGATATCCACCCTAGCGGAACCAGTGAATCATTCCACTCTCTATTTGTTCCTGGAGTGGAGAGAAAGTTGAGAGTTCGTGGAGAGTTGGGCAGACAGGGTCAATTCTCTACTCATGAGTACTTTTAGAGAGTAGATAGCTAAAGGGAGGAGCTATTCTGGGCTTCGTGGATTTAGACCCTTGAGTAATCTGACCCTCTAATCTTTAGAACCTTAGACCTCATGCCTCTTTGAATGCCCAGACCCGACATTTTTTGTAAACGCTGAATGTTATGGCCCTAAAACCTTCCAACCCCTACAGATTATGATTCATATATTGTGACTTATATGTCCAGACCCTTATTAATTCTGACCCTTAGATTTTGACCCTAAAAATTTCTGACCCTTAAAAAAGTCTGACTGTCAAATATTTGAACCATATTATTTTTTACCCTTAAAATGAGGCCAACTCTACTATCTACTTTTTCTAGAAAGTAGAGAGTTGGGATCGGATGTTTGGTGGGGGGTACTCTCCACTCTCTACAATTTGTGGAGAGTGGATAGTTGGGATTGCGGACTCAATATGTTGTGACGCTTAATGCTTCTGACCCTAATATTTCGGATTTTGACCCTAAAATTTCTGACCCTTAAAAAAGTCTGACTGTCAAATATTTGAACCATATTATTGTTTACCCTTAAAATGAGGCCAACTGTCTACTATCTACTTTTGTAGTGAGTAGAGAGTTGGGATCGGATGCTTGGTGGGGGCTACTCTCCACTCTCTACAATTTGTGGAGAGTGGATAGTTGGGATTGCGGACTCAATATGTTGTGACCCTTAATGCTTCTGACCCTAAGATTTCGGATTTTGACCCTAAAAATTTCTGACCCTTAAAAAAGTCTGACTGTCAAATATTTGAACCATATTATTTTTGACCCTTAAAATGAGGCCAACTCTCTACTATCTACTTTTGTAGAGAGTAGAGAGTTGGGATCGGATGCTTGGTGGGGGCTACTCTCCACTCTCTACAATTTGTGGAGAGTGGATAGTTGGGATTGCGGACTCAATATGTTGTGACCCTTAATGCTTTTGACCCTAAGATTTCGGATTTTGACCCTAAAAATTTCTGACCCTTAAAAAAGTGTGACTGTCAAATATTTGAACCATATTATTTTTGACCCTTAAAATGAGGCCAACTCTACTATCTACTTTTGTAGAGAGTAGAGAGTTGGGATCGGATGCTTGGTGGGGGC